CCTTCTTGGGTAAAAGGAGAAGGCGCAAATGCTGGGATCAAGAAAATGGTCATAACGAAAGAGGGACCCCAGCTCTGTGTTACAAAGAGCAGCTCGGGTCATAACGATTTTAGCTTGGTTTGTATTAATATTTGTGAATAACAATATTTGGATATATTTTGAAACTTCCTGTGGCTGTTAATAGTGTTTCAGTCTATTCTGTGTCAAGTACCAGAAGATCCTGTGCTTTTCCAGGACTGTCAGGATAATAAGAGCGCGGGTTATAAAGACTTGCAACTTGCACAACTTGAGTTCCTTGTGTTTTAGAAATCTTGAAATGTTGATGTATGGAACTTCATTTTCAAATATATTCATACCTCAAATACATCATCTAAAGCCAGGTCAGTTTTATTTCTAAAACCTGCAGGGCTCTTTTCTCCAAACTCCTGTGAGTTTGTGCCGTTCGCTGACGAAGCAGAGCAGCAGCTCGGAGCTCCTGCGTTCCCAGCTCCTGCCAGTAAGAGGTGTATTGGCTTTTTTCTCTCACTTTCCTTCCTTTCCAGATTCAACTTTCTTATATAGTGCTCTCTTTTCAGACCGTACCTGCCGTATCCAAGCCGTGTCCCAGTGCTTCTTTAGCTCTTCCTCTTCATTCTCACCTCCATCCTGGTGTGAATCCCAGTGGCTGCGGTGTGGAATGTTGCTTTTCTTCCATAAGCTGCAGAGGTCTAAATACATCCGTGTGCCACTCCACTGCTGGCATACTGTAAACACCTTTTTTGACCAACTTGCAGCTGCCACTAAGGTTCTGAATTGTGATACCTATTGAAACAATCATGACTTTCCTTTCTTGCTGTTTGTGTGACTGTAAAAATGGCAGAGCTCTTAGGATGACACTCTCTGTGCTTGCTTCACTCTTGAGAGCTCTTCCAACTAACACTGTAGATAACTCTTCTGCTTTCAAAAAGACAACTCGAGGTTGCCATCCCTGTGCTTATCAAGGCTGGGTAGATCTTTACACTCTGGATCAGAAGCTGTGGTTGCTCAGTGCATTTGTGGCTCTCAAGGAGGTGCTGTTTTCCCTGGGTATTTCTGTAAGTGGTGACTGTAACTTGTAGTGGTGCCTGACAGCCAGGAAGTAAACGAACAGCTTGGGAGTGCTCCCAATAAATGTATTTTGTAAAGCTAATTAATTCAGATAGGGCTGTTGGTATTGAAATTCTTCTGGCAGTGCTAGTGCTGCGATGAAAATACCCTGAGGAAAAGGGAGAGTGGATGAGAAGAGGCAACACACTGGTGAGGGGCTTTGTGTCCTGGTCTCCACAAGTGCAGCTGCTTGTACTGGAGGTGCAGCCAGCAGCTAAGGACTGAGAAGGTGTTGCAGGCTAAGAGCAACCTGGTGCATCTTTTTTGGCATGGAACAATCTTCTAAGAAAGCCAAAGGAATGAAGAAAGACTTGACTTAGACCTGTCACAACTAAATAAACAAACAGTCTTGTCCATCATCCTACTCCTCCTTTTTCCTCTTGTTCTTACAACAACCACCCTACAGAGGTTTTATGGACTGCACAGGATGCTTATTGCACCACAGAAATAGGGGGGGTTTATTGATTAAACTAAAAAAGTCCAAGAAACGTGAATTTGGAGGCAAAGGGTAATGTGCAGTTTGTATATATCTAAAATACAATTTTACTGGGACCATCTAATAACACGGCCTGGAATAGCTGCAAAGCTTCACAGAAGGTGGTAGGTAAGATACAGGCTTCCTCAAAGCATCATCGTGTTCTGAGCATAAAGTAATTAGTATAGACATGTTGTGCCTGCAGCCCATAAACCGAGTAGCATGTCATGCAGCCTCCAAAGTCATTCCCAATTAAAACTTTCAGCAAGCTTAAGAGATAAACCTGCTAAATGTTGTTGTTCCGGAGAGTTAGTGTGAAAACGGGCTTGATGACTGAGCATTAATTGAAATTGGTGTTTTGTGTTCAGCCGGGGGGGGGGAGGAGCGGGGAACTGCATGATCTTTAAGGTCCTTTCCAACCCAAAACCTTCTGTGATTCTGTGATCTCGTGGTTTAAGGTTTCCTTTAAAGCATATTCTAATGGAGTTAAGTATTCTAATATTTCTGTATTTTAAGTTACTCTGGGATGCTCAGGCCTTGCACAGCCTGTAGTATTGTGTAAGCCCTGACGCCTGCACTTGCTGAAGCTTTTGCTCTTTGCTCATATAACCTTTTTTCCCCATCTCCTTACTTTGTTTTGCACGTCAAGGTGCCTGTGGGGCTGCTCAGGGGTTTGCAGTGCAGTGGGAGGTGCTGCTCCAAGGGCTCCCAATGGTTCCGTGCTGTGTCACTGCATCCCCAGTGAGGTTTCTCCCCAGCCCAGTGTGTCAGATGGTGCTCGATCTGAGAAATTAAGACCTCCGTGCAGATGCACAGAAACCCAAGTTATTCCCATGGGGATTTTGGTGTTGATGACACTCACAGACCACGACTGCAATGCGAGACGGGTGGATTCTGCCCTCTCCGTCGGCAGTGCTATATAGGTTTCCCCTCTTTGTTACTTCCCAGCCAATGACAAGGAATTTAAGTGTAAAATTGCGTTTTTAGAGTATTTAAATTGTGGTTTAATAATACTAATGGCTGCTCCAAGCCATCCATAATGCACCTGTGTAGTGCATTCATTAGTAACTGGATTTTGTCTTGGATCTGAACAGCAGCTACACTGCAGTAGGTTTCCACTGGAGCCACTGTTTGTTCAAGAGGTAATTTTGAGGAGAGGAAAAACAAAATGCTTTTCAAATGAAGGGTAAGCCCTGACTTGTGACAAATACCCAACAAA